TTACCTTTGTGCCATTAAGACATTATATTCAATATATATGTATATGTATATACATTTTATATATATATACTTAATTGAAACTATTGTAAATTCACCAACTATTTAGTATAAAGTGATATAATCTCTACATTCATGCAGCTGATATATCAATGTATGTATTAGATGGCAAAAAAAAGAAAAAACAACTTGAAAAGGAAAGAGACACTACAGGTAGACATGAACTACTGACAAACCTGTACAAAATGAGGCAAATTACTGCATGGCATCCCAACATATATAGAGGGACTACAGTGTTCAATATTATACTCCAGCTCTGCTTCCGCTAACGCAGTACCAGAAGATGGAGAGAAATACACAGGTTTATAAGCCTGAAAATATGTATACATACTGAATGATACTTTCACTTTTCTCAACTGTGTTGCATGTTGTATATCAATGTATAAACATATATCAAACAAACCAGAGATATCTTGATGTTCATTTTTTTCTAAATATAGTAAAGTATACATTTGAATACTGACCTGATACACATAACCTTTTTCATATAAATCTGCGAAGAGATGGAGCTCCTTCGATACATAACTTGGATCAAATGTGCGATATATATTGGACCAGTTTGCCAGCACGCCCCACCTCTTAAATGTTTCACGCTGAATGTCTAGGGCTTCTTCAGCAAATTTTTTGGCTGCAATTGGGACATAATCTCTCTTGAAAACATTACTTAAATATTAATACATTGGTCATATTGTTTAATTCTAAATGCCTACTCTTCCTAACTGACTATTAACAATTCTCCAAAATTATTCCATACATTTGTCCATATCTCTTTGCTTCAAATAATATTTCCTTCCAAATAAATTAAAAGCAAACTAATGAGAAAAAACAACTGAAGACCTGAGTATACACAGACAGACTGACAAGCACTAACCCAAACTATTGCATAATCTTAAAAATAAATTCTCTAACCCATCTTCCTGATCCCAAGAGGAGTAGTTGGGGTTGGAACCTCTTTCTTCTTCTTCTTTTTGTCCCTGTCAAGTGCCTTCAGTTCAATGGGGAGACCATGGCAATCCCATCCTGGGATGTAGTGCACTTTGTAGCCTCTTAGGAGTTTCTGTCTCATGGTCACATCCTTGAGAATCTGGAATGTATGGCAATATTTCTTTTCACATACTAGAAAAACATGAATTTTGGTCTGCACTGTAATTTTTTTTTTACCAAAAACTGAAAATTATGAGGATGGAATTAATCCTTCAATAATGGATTTATTTACAATATAAAATTTCCTCTCTCTTCATTTCTAAACATAATAACTATTTTCTGCATGGAAGGGGAAGGGGAAGGGGAAGGGGAAGGGGAAGGGAAGGGAAGGGAAGGGAAGGGAAGGGGAAGGGGAAGGGAAACAGAAAGGAAAAGAAAAGGAAAAAGGGGAAAGGGCAAGGGAGGGGGAAGGGAAGGGGAAGGGAAAGGGAAAGGGGGGAAGGGGAAGGGAAGGGGAAGGGGAAGGGGAAGGGAAACAGAGAGGAAAAGAAGGAAAAGGGCAGGGAAGGGCAAGGGAGGGGGAGTGGAAGGGGAAGGGGAAGGGGACGGGGGAGGGAAGGGATGGCAAGGGAAGGGGATGGCAAAGGGGAAGGGTAACAGAAAGGAAAAGAAAAAGGAAAAGGAAAAGGGAAAGGGCAAGGGAAGGGACAGGGAAGGCAAAGGGAAGGGGAAGGGGAAGGAAGGGAAGGGGGAAGGGGGGAGGGAAAGAAAGGAAAAGAAAAAGGAAAAAGGAAAAGGGAAAGGGCAAGGGGAGGGAAAGTGAAGGGAAGGGGAAGGAAGGGGAAGGGGAAGGGGAAGGGAAGGGAAGGGGAAGGGGACAGGGGGGGAAGGATGGCAAAGGGGAAAGGGAAACGAAAGGAAAAGGAAAAGGAAAAGGAAAGGGGGACGGGGACAGGGGAAGGGGAGGGAAGGGAAGGGGAGGGGAAGGAAGGGGAAGGGGAAGGGAAGGGAAGGAAACAGAAAGGAAAAAAAAGGAAAAAGGAAAAGGGAAAGGGCAAGGGGGGGAAAGTGGAAGGGGAGGAAGGGAGGGGAAGGGAAGGGAAGGGAAGGGGAAGGGACAGGGGGGGAAGGGGATGGCAAAGGAAAGGGAAACAGAAAGGAAAGAAAAAGGAAAAGGAAAAGGGAAAGGGCAAGGGAAGGGGACAGGAAGGCAAAGGGGAAAGGGGAAGGGGAAGGGGAAGGGAGAAGGGAAGGGGGGGGGAAGGGGAAGGGAAGGGGAAGGAAAGGGGAAGGGGAAGGGAAGGGAAAGGGAAGGGAAGGGAAAGGGAAGGGAAGGAGGAGATGGGGAAAGGGAAAGGGAGGAAGTAAAAAGAGAAGGAGAAGGAGAAGAAAGAAGAAGAGGTAGGGCTAGGGGAAGGGTATAAGGTAGGTAGGTAGGTAAGGTAAGGTAAGGTAAGGTAAGTAAGGTAAGTAAGGTAAGGTAAGGTAAGGTAAGTAAGGTAAGTAAGTAAGGTAAGGTAAAGGTAAGGTAAGGGTAGGTAAGGTAAGGTAAGGTAAGTAAGGTAGTAGGTAATGGTAAGGTAAGTAGGTAAGATAGGATAAGGGTTAAGGGTAAGAAGGAAGAAGGGGAAGGGAAGGGGGGAGGGGGTAGGGAAGGAAGGGAAGGGAAGGGGGGGGAAGGGAAGGGGAAAGGGATGGAGAATGAGAATGAATGAGAATGGAATGAAGAGAATGAGAATGAGAATGAGAATGAGAATGAGAATGAGAATGAGAATGAGAATGAGAATGAGAATGAGAATGAGAAGAGAATGAGAATGAGAATGAGAATGAGAATGAGAATGAGAATGAGAATGAGAATGAGAATGAGAATGGAGAGATGAGAAGAATGAGAATGAGATGAGATGAGAATGAGAATGGAATGGAGAATGAGAATGAGAATGAGAATGAGAATGAATGAGAAATGAGAATGAGAAATGAGAATGAGAGAATGAGAATGAATGAGAAATGAGATGAGATGAGAATGAGAAATGAGAATGGAATGAGAATGGAATGAGAATGAGAATGAGAGAGAGAAATGAGAGAAGGAGAAAGGGAGGAGAAGAGTAAGGATAAGGGAAGGAAGAGGAAAGGGAAAGGAAAAAAGAAACCATGGAATTACTTAAATACCATCTAGAACACTACATCACGGACTGTACTTCCTAACATTAAGATATACACATATACAAAAAAATACCTTATTGACTGCATGGCCAATATGTGGTTTTCCATTTGCATACGGTGGCCCATCATGTAGGACATACTCTTGCTCACGCTTCTGCTTTCTCTGCCAGTCGTACAGGTCTGCAAAGCCAGCTTCCTGGATATGGAATACAGTATATGGAATCATCAAGTATAGAAATTTCATGCATAATTTAATTCTAAAAAAGTCACATCACTTTATTCTATTTCTTATGAAGAGAATTCTATATCTATTACATAACATCAATTAATATAAAACTAATCCAAAATAAGCAAAGAAAATACATTAATATAAAATATAAACAAAACTTCTAGACATTAGTGACGCACTCTTCATTGCCATAATCCCTCTTTATACTACACATTCACACCAATTACACGATTTTTACCTCCTGAATTCTCCTCTCATTCTTGACCCTTTTTGCTCCTTCTACCCGAAGAGGGAAACTTGTCGCAGGCAAGAGAACTGTTCTCTTGTATTTCTGAGCTGACGTATCATTATCTTCCTTGCAAGAGTTTCTCAGTGACGTGGAGAGACACCTGTGCAGAATCTTCAATCGTGTCCATTGACTATTCTTATAGTTCCCTGAGTGTGATACGAGAAGGGGCCGAAGTTGCCGCATCTTGAAGGAGGATCAGCTGGTACAGTGCGAATAATAAGCACAGTGTTCTTTCCTTATTATAAGTACTTAACTTTCCGAATAAATATTATATAATGCATATTATTGTACATTATTATAAGTTATTGAGGCAAACTATAGTCTTTTTGAAGTAAATTATTTCAACATTAGTTTATATATAGGTAAGTAAGTTTGCTTAACTATTAAATGCATTCTTGTTTACTAGAATGTTTACTAATATTTTTATGTCTTTTAACGGGATCACAAAACATATATCAAATTTATGTAAATCCTTTAACAGCGGTTGTGCCCAGATATAGATACAACAGAAGAAGAGGAATCATCAAAATATATCATCAGGAACTCATAAATATTGTTATTGTCTGGAGATCACTTCATAAACACAGTTACAAACTGTTGCATCATTTGCACAGAATTTCGACCGAGAGCACGTACGTCATTTCAGCTGTCTAAATTATTATTCTCTTCTGTTTTCTGAGCATCCAATTTAGTTCTAAGTCACCATGGGGATTGAGTATCACTTAGCAAATGATCTGTGGTTTAAGTAGATATTAAAACGTTAAAAAGAGTTATTTTTGCAAAGTTTAAAGCCCTGGTCAATTTTTGCACAGTAATGTCTCGTTATATTATATATTTGTATTTACGATTCGACTATTATGTGTGATAGGATTACTTGTAATTGGGAATAGGAACATGTGGATATAGAGGAAAAGTGATTGCTAAAACATAATTATTAGAAATGTATAATATACATTGCTTGTGTTCTATCCAAATCCACATGCATTTTGCTGTAATATTTTATGAAAGCCATACAAACCTATATGCAACCTGATATTGTGGTATTGTCAAGCAATCACTTGTCTTCCCTACTGTCTGTACTCTGGCAAAGACGAACAATTCTCCAACATGTGTATATGCTGTCCAAACCAAGCTTCGACAGTTTCTGATATGATAATCCAGACTGTAAAGTTTGGTCTGCAAAAATTATTTGGTCAAATTCTGTCTGCGCAAATGTAGTTCTCTGGTAACTTTCCGCTCACGCTTAGTTCTTTTTTAAATCATCTTCCACACATAAGATTTTTTTATCCTTCCCATGCACTTGTTTCATCATCCATCCACACAAATGTAGACAAAATGATGTTTTCTGCACATGAAAAGATGTAATATTCCCTGTGCAAGAAAAATACTTTACAGTCTGGATGGTAATTAGTTACGTGGGAGGTCTACAAGCTCAGTCTTACCATGGTATATGTAGTGGAGGTTTACTGGTTATTATGTGGCCACATGTAGGCGAGTTGTAGGTGCAGTTGTGTATAAGTAAGATTTGCCCAAATTTATTATATGAATTACTTATAGTATAGAAGGACTGAGGAAACCTTTATTTCTTCCAGGTACTTGAGGACTTTCCAAGAACCAGCCATCTGAAGGAGCACAGTAAAGTTTTTTGGTAATTTACTCCAGAACGCAAATCATGTTGCATGTATTTAGTAGATTGTGTCGCCAGACAGTACATGCTGGAAGAAATTGGGCCAGCATTTCTTATTCCATGCAAAGAAATCTTAGTGCTGAAGTGCAGTCAAGCAGGAGCTTAGTGCAAGTAAATGGCAAAGAGGCTTCTGCTTTCCTGCAAGGCCTTGTCACAAATGACATGAATCACCTGTTAGAAGGAGCAACAAGCATGTACTCAATGATGCTCAACACTCAAGGCAGAGTTGTCTTTGATACCATTATTTACAAGAGGCATGAGGAGAGTTATCTAGTTGAATGTGACCGTGAAAAATTGGACCATTTAGTGAGGCATCTGAAGATGTACAAAGTGCGAAGGAAAATTGACATTAAACCTCTAGAAGACTTTAATGTATGGGCTGTGTTTGAGCCAGAATTAGACATGGACAGTATTACACAGGTTGATGTAGAGTCTTTATACCTTAATCCAAAAGCAGAATCTGAGGTCCTCCTGCACTTGAAAGACACTGTGAGCGATGTCATTGTGACAAGAGATCCAAGGATGAAATATCTAGGACACAGGCTTGTTGTTCCAGACAAAAAACATATCACAGACATTGTATCAGATGTAGAACTTGATAAAGAGATTTTCAAGTTTTTGCGTTATAAGTTGGGTGTTGGTGAAGGGCTGCAGGAGCTCCCACCAACAAAATGCTTGCCACTTGAAGCCAATCTAGATTATCTTCATGGAGTTAGTTTTCACAAAGGCTGTTACATAGGACAAGAACTTACTGCCAGAACTTTCCACACTGGTGTTGTGCGCAAGAGGTACATGCCTCTCATATTTCCTGGTGACGCTTCCACTCTTGCTTACGATACAAATATAATCAATGAGAAGGGAAAATCTGTAGGAAAGGTTCGAGGAATAGATGGTCAGTATGGGATAGGGCTTTTAAGAGTTAAAGAATGCTTAGCTGCTGAATCTCTGAAAGCCAATGATATGGTTGTAAAAACGTTTAGGCCTCCATGGTGGCCCATTGAAGCCTCAAAAGAAAAAATGAATTAAACATACCTAAATCAAAGAAAGAATGGATTGATAATGCAGTACTTACTCAGTTTGGAATCATTTTAATGTTATTTCCAATCAAAATATACTCCAAAGTAATAACTTACATGTAACTGAGATTCTAGGATGACCAAGTATATATTTGTTGTATAATATATATATTGTACATTGCATTTAATTGAAATTCATGATGGGTTGGCCTGATAACACATGATAAATCTCTAGTTGGTTTTATTCATATAGTCAGACATACAGTTGGAGACCAGTATTATCAACACATGTTATGCAATGTAGGGATTATATTATCACCAGTAGCATATTATCACAGGCTGGAAAGTTAACAGTTATTAATTCACTCACTATTTATCTGAAGAGTATGTATTCCAAACCACCACTTGCATTATTTATGTGTATTATGCTTACAGTTTATACATTTATCATTTTTTTGTATTCTCATGGGAAAATGTTGGTAATCGTAATTGTGAAGTTCCATGTGTTCTTATTTTAAAAGGTCACATAAAAACTTGTGAAGTAAAATGGTCCTACTTTTTGTTTTTAGTCAATTGTTGAATTCGGGTAGAAACTTTATGGACTTTTTAGTTGTATTTAATAAAATAGTGGGTCTATTACATTCAGTGAAGTTGTGGGTTAATTCAATTCCTTATTATTTTAAAACTTAAAATAATTCTCAGTTCTTTTTAATAGGCTTTCAGACATTATAAATGTTACTACATGGAAGCTTGAGTTTAAAATGATAGAGAGTTAGAGTTATGTATATTACCTACTATATTTGAAGGCATGTCTGTCCAAAAATGCATTTATTATTTTGTTACTTTTAAAACTTTCATCTATAAAAAAACATCAATATGTTCACATTAATGCACTCAATCTGATCTCATAATTGTAGTGCTTAAAATGACCATATTGATGCATGTTATAGATGTATTTAATATCAGGCCATTGGTCAGAGAACACATTTGGATGCAAATACCCTCATTTTAAGGGCAGCCTTTAAACACAGGGAAATATGTTTATGAAAGCATAAAGAACTTTCTCAGGTTCTACTCTTGTTTTTTGTTTGTATTTTGTCATCTAGTCATTTGTTATTAAATATATTTTTGAATATTACTTTATTTTATTTTATTTACCAAATAGTATGGTGAAATATTACCATGTACTTGGCACTTGAGAAGGCAATTCGTAATAGCATATTCAGGTACACATTTTGACCCGATCTTCAAATATACAGTAAACAGTGTACATCAAAAGATTAAGCAACAAATATTCTTTCAAACTACCAGGGAACTTCAATAGTTTCTATGCTTCAACAAACTGAATATTATAACATATGAATTTATATAAAAATCAGTAGTACAGATGTTACATGAACTGAAAAGTAAATGTGTAATTCCAATTTCACCTAAAGAATGTTATGATAATTGTTCCTAGTGGTTACCATTTGGTTGTCAACAAATCCCTGGGGGTTTGATAAGGTAGAATTAGAGGCTGTGTATTATGGTCAAAATATCAAGAGGCAGCAGCAAGATTACTGATAATAAGGCTGCTATGAAAAAAAAGTTTCCTAAAATATTAACGTTTATTTAATTGCATACTGTAACATAATTATTCACCTAGCTGATCAATTTACGAAAATTAGTTTGTTGCTTGCTAGTGTATAACATTGTTTTCTTGAGTAGATAAATTATTTAAGTAAAGGGGTTCTCAGTGGCAAAAAAGATGGGTAACATTAAGAAGTTTGATATACAATTTAACAATAATAAGATTATTTGGATTTGGCTTTTGCTGTTTCAGCTCAGAGAAACGACCACCACAAAGTGAAGTGAAGACATTATTGTGTTCAAAATATGTCATTTGGGAACCAACATCACCGTAAACTGTAGAGGAAACCCAACTATGGCAACAGCAAGTGACATCAACATGAAGAATGAAAAAGGCGGAACATTTCTCTGTGAAGTGTGTGGTTTGACGGAGTCCTATAACTACTATGGCTGTAAACCACCTTTTCATAAGGATATCACATTTCTGGAGAACTGTTATATGATGAAAGACCCATTCCAAAGTGCCGGCACAAAATCCTTTCTCTTACTAGGATCAGAATGTGTGGCTTGTAAGAGAGTTGTGTGTCAGGCATCCTCATGTAGCATCTTTTACACTAAGAGGTTTTGCCTTGATTGTGCAAGATCAAGTATAGAAGAGTTTCCCCCAGAAATGCAGAAGCGAATTGGGAAATAAGATGAAGGGGGATGGGAATTTACTGCTGGATATATAGGCTAAAAATTAGATGCTAACTTTCATTTTATCCATTTACATACAAGATATTCTGCAATTTAGATATCTACTTATATTTACCAGATATTGAGTGAACATTTTTATGTCATGCAGTGTTTAAAAATTACATTCAAACAAATAGTATTTTGGACTATAGGAAGCCAAGCTGCAAATAAGAAAAGAATGAAAATTGCTTGCTTGAATGATGCACAAAGTTTTCATGAAGAATGAGAGATGTATACTTATTTGGGGTTGAACTGGAATGGTATATTATGATAATTCTGAAAAGTTCATTTCTTTATAGTATAGTGGGCTCAAAAACTGTCAAATCTGTCATTTACATCAACTCACTATTTACTCATCTACTTACTTATATATACTATCATGTAAATTTTGAAAATAAATGACATACATGATATGACTTTTAAATGGAGTAATTACCTATAAATATTATGCTTTTTATTGACTTTGTTTAATTTGAAAAATAGTAGATATCCTTATGTGATCTTACTGATGCCTACAGTATAATTAATTACACATCATCATATATATAATATTTTCTACTATTAAACTGAATGAAAAATTTAAAACACTGCTGTGGAACTTAATGCACATTATTACAACATTCAAGACAAGAGATACTTTTTACTTTTTATGTTCTCTTTCTTTTTTTGATACTAAACCAAGAGACTAAAACAACACAGGCATGGTACTAGTGCCAAATGAATGACCAAAAGGCTGGCTTTGTGCCAGTTCAGAATGGCCTTCATACTCCATTTGCTCTACCCTATTTACTCTTTTTCACTACTATACTAGCTTGTAGTGCTCTACAATCTTTGGCATCTTACATTTCGTCCTAACCGTTAACTAAGGTTTACCCATTTTCGCCGCAACATTTTATCATAGTGCTGTATGACTTTTCTTTACCAGGAGGCTTTGCCCACAAGCCTCAACATGTCACAATATTTTGAATATGACGTTAATGACCTTAGCTGTTAACGAGGCAGAAAATTTTCAAGAAATAACAATAATAAAAAATAGGCGACCCCATTAAATTCTATTGTCAACCACATCTAAAACCCAAATAAGGTTTGTGCGAGTGAGTGAGGGGAAAAGACAGAGAGAGGCAGAAAAAAACAAGACCAACGGAGAAAGGTTGGTGATGCTGAGTAAAATACGTGCAAATACAATGCAGATTTAAAAAATACATATATATCCCTGACCAGATAAGAAGAAGACAGTAATATTTCTTTAGTATATAATGCTACATGTTGATGGCTGGTGTACATGTACACATACACTTCCCACTGTAGCTTATTATTCATCTGAACATTGTAGTCCACAAGCATTTCGGCTATTACAAAGCCTACCTTTCCTTATCTATTAATCTCATTCCTTAGGTGTTTGGGAAAAATATTTTAATGTTTATTGCTACTATTATTTCAGTACAGAAGTTACTGACTGATGCCTGTACTTCAGACCTTATTCAGTAAAATGAAGGTAACAATGATATTAAATCATCAAGTACAAATGTTTATTGAATAGTGTATTACACTGTAGTGTCAATGTTCATTTGTCTTCCACTCATACACACATACACAGACAGACATACAAGCATACAATATTTTTTTCTAAAATGTCTGAAATTTGAAAATTCCCCAAAAAGAACAGTAACAGTAAATATTGAAAACTTTCATGTTTAAATAACACTATTACAAAAATAACAAGGAGCTTAATTTAACCAAAGTCTTTTCATAAATTCCAGGTAGTTTAAAAAGAAATTCAAACTTTTAATTCATCCGTAACATGATATCATATTTGAATAGTTTCTCATTATTTTTTTTTTCTCACAGCAAATAAATACAATTTGCAACATTAACAGAAAAGTCAGGAATACAAAAAAATTAAAATAAAAATTGCCTAAAATGAGATTTTCACTTTTGTCTAGTACATAAGCACAAGAAATAAGCAATATATTTTAGCACAAAATACCTGATTTTTTTTTTTTTAACAGGTACTAGGAGCAGAAAAAATATTATAATTATCAAATAAACTAGTTAATTTGCCTATTCATCAACCGCTTCCTTTACTGCCTTCTTCTTCTTCTTCTTCTTTGTCGTTACCTCAGCAGCTGGCACTTCCTCCTCTACTACTGCAGTCTCCTGCTCTGCTTCCACTACTGCTGCTTGGTTCTTCTTCTTCTTCTTCTTTTTCTTTTCTGAGATGCCATTCTCAGCAATGTGCATGGGTTCTTCTGGTGCTGCTACTTCTTCTTGTACGACTACCTTGTTCTTCTTTTTCTTTTTCTTTTCAGTAACCTGAAGGGGAGGGAAAATGTGAGAACATTTCTAGTTTACTGTAAAAAAAAAAAAATTTAATATAATGTTTGTACCGAGATTACACGTGTTGGTTAAGCAGATCAAAATGTGCGTTTACAGGTGTGTAGTTCTTTTGCTCCTTTTCTCTACTTACTTCCTCTGCTACAGGTTCTACGACCTCCTCTGCTGCTGGTGCTTCCTCTGTGGCTGCCTCTTCTGTTGCTGCTTCCTCTTGTTGCTTCTTCTTCTTCTTCTTCTTTTTCTTTGGGGTTTCTCCATTTACTATATTCTCTGCAACATCCCCTACAGAGGAACAAACAGCATGTTAAAAAAGATATTCTTTCAAGTATTGTCTTCTTATACTGCTAACATAGTATGGACATACCAAACTTACCATTAACATCTTCCAATTTCCTCTTCTTTCCCTTCTGGGCCATTGAGCTAACAAGTTGGTTATGTTCTTCTAACGCTTCACTCATGACTTCCACATTCTTTCTGGGAATGTTTCCTGTTTCATAGAACTTCAATCGGTCCTCAACTTGATTTCTTAGTTTCTCACCAAACACTTTCGTCAGGTTTTCTGTGGACAGATCCAATAAATTAGTAAATAGGTAATGTATGTGTGTGAGTGTGATTGAGTGTGAGACAGTGAGTGAGAGTGTGTGAGTGTGCGTGAGGGAGCATGTGAGCATCTGCAAGATAATTATGTATGTGGATGTAGGCCCATACACCTCCCATTTCCCCAGATAATTATTTCCAAAGGAGTCAAAAAAGGTCAACTATACAAAACAACAATAATAAAGGTGTTAAATACAAAAGATATGAGAGAAACACCTTTTCCTTCTTACCTGTGAAACAATCGATACGTGAAGCAATAGAACACTTGTTGGCCAGATAGCGTGAGATTCTGCCCTTGTTGGCCATCCCAGCTCGCCCAATGAAAGTGGAGTGGTAGATAAGACCATACTTGGGGGTATTTGATCTCGTTTTGATGGCACGGAACAAAGCCTTCTCAGCCCCTAGGATCTGAACAGTGGATGCAGGGTATTTTGCGAGATTGGTAAGTGAGCCAGCATGAGAGATAAGTCGAGCACCAACAACTTCACCAATGAGGGTGGCCAAGTTGGGGGCTACACTGTCCATCTTCGATCTGAGGTATTCTGCTAGCTGCTTGCGGTATTCTGAGAGGGCTACGACTCGTTTTGCGAAGCGCTCGATGTTTATCAAGTCAATTGGTGAAATATCCATACCTGCAAGATTCAAATTATTGATTACTCCATTACTAATCAAACCAGAAACCTATTAAAATTCATTCATTCCTAACATTTGAAATATTCCTATCATACGAATATTACGATAAAAGTTTGTATTTTAATATCAGAGCAACAGATGTTCAGAGGGTTATTTCATAGCTATATCTTGAAAAACCTTCACAGCATAAGAACTTACCCATTGACATCCTTGCAGCATCTAGAATAGCCTGTGCTTTTGCAGAATCCATAACAATTTCCTCCAGTTTTT